TATATAATTATGATATATCGCACATGTAGTGCTGGTGTTAATAAAAAAGTGCTCGATGCAATACAATAGAGTTCTAAAATATATATTATTGAATATACATATTATGCCGCACTGTTAATACGACACGGATTTTATACATAGCTCAGTCTTCATTTGCTTAGTACAGACTGGCTGATCGATGAGGAGTAATATATATAATATATTACTTTATTAATATAATACAAATATATATATATATATATATATATATATATATATATATATATATATATATATAGCGCTAAAATACTAATGAATAAATATGTCTCCTTTGTATTACAGAATTCTTTAAGCTCTCACTCAATGTTCTCCTATTTATATATTTTATGAATCTTTTTTTTTCTTTTTTACCTTGGCTGAAACAGCAACAGCTCAAACCGACAGATTTTCTTTTCTTTGTTTATAATGACAAGATGTCTATTGATCTGAAAAGAGGAATGTCTTTAAACCTTTTATGCTCTAGCTACAACAGTGTAGACATATATACATATATACATATATACAAAGCGCTATATTACATATGAACACTAATTGTATAAGTCTAGAAGCATACACTCAACACATACACCCAATTAAAAAGCAAAAATAAAATCATCCTTGGTAATGGCTAGAAGTATAGCCGAAAGCGCTCAGAATTACAGAACATTTGCACAGTTTCTACACACTATGGGTCTAAAAGGAAAACACTTGTTCGAACATAAGAAAAATGAAATAAAAAGCTTAATCGTAGTACCTTGTCTGTCGTCTTTAATGAAACATGTATAAATAAAGGACTGCTGTCTAAATACACAAATATATATATAATGAAATGGCCAATGTCTGACAATTATGTTAAGACATTTTTATGTTTAACATTCTTTTATAGACACAAATATTTAAGTAAATGCTCTGTTTATAATCAACAGTATTAAACAACATTTACCGGCCTGAATGTCCGAGAAATTTTCACAGAAAATATTCATCCTTCGACAGGATTTGAACCTGTATCCTATACGGAAACGTCATTTAGCATGACGTGACTTTACCGATTTGACCACGAAGGAGCGTTCGCCTCGCAACGTCAAATTTACTGTATTTAAACTTCAATCTTCCATGAATCTCTCACGTACATTCACGTCTGCTCATGGCGTAACAAATGTAAACAAATGACGTCACACATTATGAAATGGACAAAGTCCGACAATTACTTTAAAATATTTAAAAAAAATGTTAAACATAAAAATGTCTTAAAATAATTGTCAGTAAATGTTGTTTGATACTGTTTATTATAAACAGAGCATTTACTTATTATTAAATATAACAATGAATGTCTCTTACGTATGAACATGAGCCGTTCTAATCTTCGAATATTTGCTTTAATTTCTGGTGAAACCCTCATGTGAGCCGCGAAAGCTTTGGACCAACTTAATAAAAATATCCAAATGTTAGACAAATTTTGTCTTTATTTTCAACAGAAATTAAGGCAAACATTCGAACATTAGAAAGGCTCAGACATTCATTATCTTTTATATTTAATAATATAAATAAATAAGGATCTGCTGCCCCATTACACTATATATATATATATATATATATATATATATATATATATATATATATATATATATATATATATATATTCAAACAAAGTGTGCTGAATTGCTTTATCAGAATTCAAACCTGGCTCAACTGGACATTTTCCTCACAGATAAAGTGAAAGCTTTAAACCACAGAAATGTGATTGTACAGGAGGATGCTGAGAATGAAAACCGTGAGCAATGAGGGAGTGTTATGAAAATTGGCATCCAAAAGATTAGTTTCAGAAAGCAGAAAACACTGGGATACGTTATGAGGAAAAGCGACTTGTAGAATGTGATACTCATAGGACATTTTGTAGGTACAGGGGACTGAGAGGAACAGAAAGTAACCTACCCAATGAGATTTTGTAAATGGATGTCAGAACAAGGACTGAAAGGGATAGTTAGGGAACAGACTGCTTGTGGAGATCCATTATCGCCCGTGCACTGAAGGGATACACTACATAAAGGACTTTATGAATTCAAGCGCCCTACGCGGCTGGCATCCCGCTCTCACCCTTTCACTATTCATATCTCGCACCTCTCGCCTGTTCCAGTTTCCCTGAGAGCTATAATCAACTATTCAAATGTAATGTCAATCGACTTCTCCAGTTGCCTTGATCTATCCACTATCCTTCTCCTCATCCCTTCCTCTATCACTCCTATCTGATCTTGCTCCAAATCTTCTGTAACCTCTTGCATCCTAGTAGCTTCCCGCCTTGCTTGGGGTGAAAAGCTTAAAAAAAGAAAAAGAAAAGAAGATTGGTAGTTAGTATAATATTTGCTGGGGTTTCTATTAACAGTGGCAACGAAGCTGGTCTTGTTCTTTTTACTCTTGCTCATCTTTGAAACAAAGCTCAAGACGACATTCAAAATAAAAATCAAACGCATATAGGAAAATAGTTGTGTTTTATTTCAGTAACGTAAATTAGTGCTAATACATAGATTGCTCAATCTTCTGATCATGCGTGGTACAGGGAAATGATGTTTCTTTCTACCGAGAAAAGCTTGGCTTTACAGAATTGAGGTTAGTCGTATGCGTAAGTGTAATAATCACAGCTTTATACGAGCTCTCAAGTGAAAACTGAACAAAGTTTGGCCTGAAAGAAGCTACTGAAATAAAATCGCTTTTTACGAACGTTGCATTTTGGGAATTTATTTAATCTAACCATACTTGCTTTCAAATTGTTACATTTATTTAGCTTTTCCTTTTTCGCAGATGATAAAAAAGGCTCCTGTTGAACAATACGATTATTTTGGCATTTTGAGAAAAAGCGATGTTTACTTTCTTTTCGCTTTTGTTAAATACGAATAGGTTTAAATTATTTCAATTGCACCTTGAATTTACGGGATATATTTGGGACATGCTTTTGCAGGTATGTCAGTTTGAGTTTAAGGTTAAAGCAACATACCTGCGTCCAAACGTTGTTAGGTTTAAAACTGAGGCAATATATATGGGTTGCAAATAAAAGGTAGATATTCCTTAAAGCAAAACAATCTTCTAAATTTTTAATAATCGCTGAAAGTTTCGATTCACTTAAAAGCGTTTCCAGTAAGATCAATAAAAAAATATGGAAAGGAATTAAGGCAGCGTTTGTAATACTAATAAGTGTAATATTTGATGAAGATCTCAATAAGGAAAATGAGAAGAAAAGGTAAAAAAAGAATGAACGAGAAATAAATAAGAAAGAGCAGGAGAGGAAATGAGATGAATGAAAAATGGGAGTAAAATGAGGGGAAAAAAAAGGGGGGGAAAAAGAGAAAAATAAAAGAAAGAAAAAATTTAATGAGTAAAATAAAAAAAGATAAACAATAATAAATAATGGAGAGAAAAGGATCGAATAAATTGATGAGGAAAGTAGAAAGATGGAAGAAGATGAAGGATAAAGAAGAAAAAAGAAAGATAGACAAAGAAAATAGATAAAAATTGGAAGATGAAGAAGAAAAAAAGATACAAAAATATTATAAAGATGAAGGACAACTGAGAATATAGAATAGGGAGAAAATATATTGAAGAAGCAGAAAGCTAGAAAGAAAGAAGGTGAATAAAGATGAAGAAAAGAAGAAATAAACAGAAGAAGAAGAAAAAGAAGAAGAAGAGGAAGAAGCAGAAGAAGTAGAAGAAGAAGTAGAAGAAGAAGAAGAAGATGATGATGATGATTAGGAAAAAGAAGAAGTAGAGAAAGAAGAAGAAGATAATGATGATGATGATTAGGAAAAAGAAGAAGTAGAGAAGGAAGAAGATGATGATGATGATGATTAGGAAAAAGAAGAAGAAGAAGAAGATGAGGCAGGTGAAGGCGTTAATAAAAGCTTTTAAGTCAGAGAAAGAATTGTTCTTCGAATGAAAAGAAATGAGAATGAGAAAAAATAACAGAAAAAGAAAGATGAGAATCGCCTTGAAAAAAAATACTAATTAAAATTAGATCTTAATGCGTAAACCAGAATTAAATTCGCTGTATTAAAAATCTATTTCATATTTCTGAATGCTTTCCTTCTTTGATGTGTGTTGCGTTTAGATCCATTAACATTAAAGCAGATCCCAGGTTTCTTACTTTGCACCTGCTGATGACATTGCTTAACTGGTTGAATCAGGAACATCTGCGACGCTAATGGTAACAGTTTTATAACCAGAAACCACAGACTTTTAGTTCTTTTATACGTGAACCGACAATTGTACGTGTAATTTATTCATCGAAATATTTCATCAGAGATCCTTGGCTACTGAGGATATTAAAAGAATAATAATATTTATTTTTTAAATCTGAAATTCTTTGGACATAGAATGAGCAAGGAGGGTCTGGAATATTTGACCATCACGAGGCTTAGTAGAACGCATATACAACGGGGTCGGGTATGTGTTTCCCGAGACGAGACTGTCCTTTGACATAGCCCCGTCTGAGGATGCTCTCTGCCCGAAGGGAGAGAGATTAACCCTCCTAGTTGAAGACGAATCTCCAAATGCGGGTCGGCAGACCGTGGAGAGACATGATCAAATAGTCTGAAGAAACACGAGACATTAAAAGAATTTTCAATGATATCTGAAGCATAGAATTTGATCAGGGTTTGAAGTTGCTGTCATGCTAAGCCCAAATCCTCAGGAATTATTGTAAATAAAATGGCGACGTGAAATTTTAGATAGTAGTTTTTGTTTAGCAGCGTATCAAACTCTATGGATTATTTAATGCCGAAATCTAAATATTTTGTAAGTAATTTTATTTTATTTTTTTAGAGATAATATTGGTTTTAGTCATACAAGTTTTTATTAACATACAGCTAGGGTTAGGAGGTGGGTCATCGCTTTTCCAAAGTAAGTGAATATAATGAATTCAACTGAAATTTGAACTCGGCTCTCCGATTTCACATTCCGAGCTAATATCCGTTACACCCACCTCACATCCAAGCTCACAGCGCCTGGTATTCCTAAGCGGTCACCCATCTAGATACTGACCAAGCTCGACGTTGCTTAACTTTGGTGGTCGTACGGGAACCGATGTTTTAACGTGATGCGACCGGAAACCTTTGAAAACAAGACTCTGTTAAAATATTAACAAGATAATTAAAGAAATGTCATTTTTCTCTTTTGCGGAAACAGCTGATACTTGGTTTTTATTCAGTGCGTCATGGCTCGCCACAACATTCTATCTAGTGCGGATCTTAACGGTTTTCTCCCTATGCTAAGGAAACCGTCCCGGCAACTAAGTCGCTTGTGTAGGAATGGAGTGAAGTTCGACGATACGGGTCATTGTGAATTTGTTGGAATTTTGATGCGGACCAAAACTGGTAGATCACTCACCATTTCCCTGCATTATAACTTATTTCCAGTAGATGAAATCTCTTCAAAATTGGTATTAAATTGTGCGAAATCTCTCACCCTGTCCATGTGTACAGGCATTTTTCATCCGCTTTTCTGGGGCAAATTGCAGCTTCGACCGTGTCGCTGCTGTCACCGTTGGCAATTTACGGTTGCCGAAAAGCGGTTTGCTCGAAGAAATCGCATTTCAACTTTTTGCTCTCTAGGGGATCCTCATGAAATAGATATCAGATTGTGAGGAATTTCCTGCTTAATCCATGAGTCCAAGAATTATTTCAGTCGCTTGTGTAGGAAGCGAGTGAAGTTCGACGATACGGGACCTTGTGTTAGCGAATTTGTTGGAATTTTGATGCTGACCAAAAGTGGGGGATCATTCACATTTCACTGCTTTATTACTTTTTTTTCCAGTAGATGAAATCGCTTCAAATTTGGTATTAAATTGTGCGAAATCTCTCACTCTGTCCATGTGTACAGGCATTTTCCATGCGCTTTTCTAGGGCAAATTGCAGCTTCGACCGTGTCGCTGCTGTCACCATTGGCAATTTACGGTTGCTGAAAAGCTGTTTACTCGAAGAGATTGCATTTCAACTTTTTCCTCTCTAGGGGATCCTCATGAAATAGATATCAGATTGTGAGGAATTTGCTAAGCTAAGGAAGCCTGTCCCCGTTCTGCCATCCATTCACACAAGCCCGGCAGCTAAGTGACTCTCTAACTTCCACTGTCTTTCTTGCCCTTAATAAGCCTCGTGAGGGTTTAGTATTCTTCCTGAGCTAAGGAAACCGCTCCCCATTGCGCTGTGAAGTTTTATAGAACTTAACTGATCCCAGACGTTCTTCCATCTTTTCTATTTTTTAAAATTCTTATTAAGAATAAAGATTAACAAAAAATATATCAGGTACTGAATATTTTATAACGTCCAAAACTAACGATGAAATATTTTCAGAATAAATCCAGTAAGAATTCATCGGAGAATCAGAGTAAAATATAGTTAAATTCAAAAAAAAAAGAATAGTGTGTTTAAAATATAGTGAAATCTGCTATCTCATGTGAAATTATAAGCAACAGAAATATGAATATCCCCCTTTTTATAAGTTTGGCAGTGGCAAATTTACGAAAAGGTTCTCACTCCACCCGTCCGGACCACAGCCGAAAGGAACAGCTGCTAGCTATCGAGATGAATTAAATATAAACAAATGAATCCATTGTTGCCTCTGTCTCTGTTTTTCGTCACAAAACCGCCAACTTCCATTTCTATTTGCTTATTTTGATTGGTCTCTTTTATGGAATCTCATATTGAGAAATGGCGCCCGATCGAATAAAACATTCCAGAATGGCATCAAGTTATCGATCTTCGTGTTCATTTTATTCGTTTCCTCGGATTTCTTGCGTGAAGAATAGAAGCGAACAGACCAGAATGAAGGAGAGAGTGTGGAACTAGCTGATGCGCATGGTGTGTAATGTTTGCCTATCGACGTGGCATGATGAGATAAAAGGGAGAGGGGGGGTGAAGCGCGTTATATTCCTTAACTGTAGACAATGAACGAGATTTCATGCGCTGCCCACTGCGTAAGACTTTCCTCCAGACTACATTGCTAAAACCATCGCAAGCAAAAATATTTGCAATCATTTATTAAACTATGAAATACGCAGTTGTTATGACTCCGTGAGGAGAAAGATATCATAACAGTATATAGATAAAATATTTAACACTTTCTATTCTAGTTTATTTTCATCAAAATGCTTGTTTATATATATATATATATATATATATATATATATATATATATATATATATATATATATATATATATATACACAGTAGCGGCTATAATATAAGGAACGGAAACAACAAAGACATAAATATGTGTATTACTTAAAAAGTAATGCATGATTAGCAATGAAATTTTTACCGAATAAAGATTAGGGTGTTATGCATAAATATTATACAAAGTTATAAAAATTTACATAATAGTTTTTTTTTAAAATAAAGATTAAATGGAACAAAGCTACTGGACAAAAGTTAAGGAACGATGTTAATAATTTGCATAAACTTTTAATTTACATTGTTAAAAAACTCGATGGAGCTTTTCAACAGTAAGTAAAAGTTCATTTATCATTAGGACTTTATTTTTAAGCAATATGGCAAATTCTACACTCTCTTTTGAAGAAAAAAAAATCATTATCGCTAACTATCAAGAAAAAAAGTCAATTTCAAAAATTTCTGATATTGTTCATAGGTCTAAAATTGTCGTTCCTCGTGTAATTAGCAGGTATAAAACTGATAAAACGTTAAATGCAAAACCAAAAACCGGCAGACCTCCAAAAACATCGCAAAGAGAAGATCGAAGAATTGTTAAAATATCTACAAAACACCGTTTTGAAACTGCTACATCAATTGCCCGTAAATTTAATGAAGAGACAGATAATAAGATCTCAAGGAAAACGGTTGTTCGCAGGTTAAAAAAATGCAGGATTGCATGCCCGTATTCCAGCTTTGAAGCCTCTCATTTCAAAGCAAAACCAAAGGACAAGCCTGGAGTTGTTGTTTGGACTGACGCAGAATGGGATACAGTTCATTTCAGTGACGAGTCCAAGTTTACTATATTTATTTCTAAGGGAAAAACTTACGTAGGCCGTAGAACAGGTGAAAGACTGTCTTCTCAATGTGTCAAGAAAACCGTTAAGTTTGGTGGTGGCAGTGTGATGGTGGCAGTGTGATGGTGTGGGGAATGATTTCATCTGCAGGAGTTGGCCCTATCATCCGCGTTATATGGCAATATCAATACTGAGATTTACAAAAGGCTTCTTCAGCAGCATGTGGTACCAAGATTACACCATAATCTTTATGAATAAGGCTCAGAAGGTTATGGCTTTATTTGAAGAAGAAGGAATCGCCCTAATGAAGTTGCCAGTCCAGAGCCCCGACCTGAATCCAATAGAAAATATTTGGAAGATAATTGGAGAAAGGGCTCAGAAAAGAAACCCAAAAAATCAGGATCACCTCTGGGAGTTATTGAAAGACAAATGGGAGGGAATTACTGTTAATTTTTGTTAGAAATTAATTAGATCATGTGGTCGACAATGCAAAGAAGTCATTGAAAATAAGGGGATGTTTACCAAATATTAAATTTTGTTGATATTTTGTTCACAATCAAGTATTAACAAGATCGTTCCTTAACTTTTGTCCAGTAGTTTATTTCGTTTGTTCTATTTAATCTTTATTTAAAAAACAAAAAACAAAAAACAAAAACTATTATGTAAATTTTTGTAACTTTGTATATTTATGCATTACCCGCTAATCTTTATTTGGTAAAATTTCCATTGTTATATGTATATATAACAGATATTTTGAAAAATAAAAAGACTTTCTATTCTATTTCTAAAACTGTTTAGATCATATATATATATATATATATATATATATATATATATATATATATATATATATATGATGATCGCTAAAGCGTGAAACCCAGGGTCACAAACTCACATCTATCCAACCAAATATATATATATATATATATATTTGACCGGTGTTTATCGGCAAAAAAAAATTCACAAACCAGTCAACATTAAACACCCAATCCATTCTTCATCAAACTGCTATCAACAAGCATTATTGTTTCACTCCGTCACCTATTTTTTATGTATATTTTTCTTCTCAAAAAAAAAAAAAGGGAAAAAAGAAAGTGACGTTTCACATACGGCTTGCCTACAAGGAGGATTTTTCATGACCATTTTCGATTCTCACCCGTCGAAGTGCAGTTGAAATGCACTGAAACGAAGTTGTATCTTTGTAGTGAGTAAAATGGTTTTGTCTATATGAAAAAATTATATATATATATATATATATATATATATACGAACATAGGAACTGTCAAAATGACAGAATAACGTATATTCACAGCCTAGGTTTCTTCTCGTCAACTCTTCCTTGGATCAGTGCGCATGCCTACAATCTTCTAGCTGTAGTCAAGGTAGTATTTTTCTCTCATATTCCACATTTAGGGAGTTCATACCTGCATCTGCTTTATTCTATTTAAGAAGGAGTTTTAGTGGATACGGCTTCTAGTTTGACGGTAGTCGAGGGGATTAAACAAATTTTACCCCGTTTCGTATGCGTATAGGCACACCATGTTACTGTAGAAAGTAATTGATTATGGACAAATCGGCTTTTTCGTGATTCTCAGGTTGAAATAAAGCTGTGGTGTCCTCTTGAAGCTATTCAGGGAGACTGCAGAGGATGGATAGCCATGTGTATGAAGACCGATATTTGTCTCCTGACTCCCATGTAAAAAGGATAAATATTTCCGTAGACTGAAATATCATAAAAAAGAGTGTCCGGTATTAAATAAACAAAGAAAGTTTGATACTTAGTAAAATCCACCAACAAAAATTCTATAACTACCAAACATCATCCTAAAAATGAAAATCGGGATATATGTAAGATCGGAGTAAGTATCTGTGCACCTTGTTAAAAGTGCTACACACACATATATTGTCGCCATTTTATATTTTTAATTTCGCGCATGCGCATTGTTTGTTTTTGATTTTGTCGATTGCACAGTATAGTAGGGTCAGTTGGGCACCGTCTCTAAGAAAACGAGCACCATGACAAGAATTAAGGACTATGGAAACAGCATGCTGTAGTGCTTGACATTCGCACCGGAAGCTCCAATACGAACATTT